TCTTATACACATCTAGATGTGTATAAGAGACAGGTGTGTGTGTGTGTGTGTGTGTGTGTGTGTGTGTGTGTGTGTGTGTGTGCATGGTGGGTGGCGGGGGGGTGGGGCGGCCCCTCGCCCACCACTCAATCAATCAATCAATCAATCAATCAATCAATCAATCAATCAATCGATCAATCAATCAATTAATCAATCAACAGAAGAAAAAAAAAAAGCAAAATCGAATGAATGTTCCGATAGAACATGGAAATATACAATACTTCGTGTGTGTGTGTGGGGGGGGGGCTGTTGGGGGTGGGGGGCCGGTCCCACCCCCACCAATCAATCAATCAATCAATAAAAAAAAAAGCAAAATCGAATCAATCAATCAATCAATCAACGGGGGGTGGGGCGACCCAGCCCCCACCAATCAATCAATCAATCACAATCAATCAATCAATCAATCAATCAATCAATCAATCAATCAATCAATCAATCAATCAATAAATCAACAAGAAAAAGAAAAAAAAACTCGGTTTTTTTTTTTTCAATTTACTTCTCTCACGGCCAACCGCCCCCCCCCATCCAAAAAAAAATAAATATTTTTTAACTTTTTTTTGCTTGAGGGGGTGGGGTTGGGGTTGCGCCGCCCTTTGGCGCTTCCCGAATCCCCAACCCCCCTCCCCACCGGCCGCCACGTGTCCGCGAAGTCGCACGTCCGCGGGGTCGCGGACTCGGCCGCGCTTGTCCGCCGCCGAGGAGGAGTCATAGATGCTCACTCACCTTTCAATGCTCGTTAGCCGACCCTCACCGATCGAGCTAGCCTTGAGGTTCTTAGAGAGCCAACTAATCGCGCTTGCAAAATTTATAGCGTGCATGTTTGCACGAGGGATACGGGATTAGCACCAAGTGATGAGAAAGAGAAAAGAGGGAGTGCCTGCGTCTGCATGTCCAGGCTGTGGCGCGGGGGACGAAGCCACTCTCCACGCATCGATCCGGGCATGCAACCGTGGGAACCACTTAGAACAGAGGAAAAACGTGCATGCGAAGACGAGGCGGAAAAAAAGAAAATACGAAAGCCATCAAGATTCAAGAACAAGAAGATTACAGTTGTGATTGCGCCCGCCAAATACTACAGTTACACACAGGATTGAGGCGCGGACGAAATCAGAGCCCTGATCCTATCGGAGCACGGTGTGTGCGAGCAAGAAGCGTCGTGCCGACAAACTGCAAAATGCCTAAATTCCCAGTCTAAATCCTAATAGCAAGAGAAAATTCCGAAAAGAATAATTCCAAGAGCCCGCGGGGGTAGTTCGAATTTTAAAAACGAAAATTCTCATGCGCTGATCGCGCCAAAATTCCTAGTGCGCATAGCAGACAAGAAAGAAGCTATGGCAACCATCATTTCTCGCGCTCGCTAGGGCGTGGTCACTTAATCGTCAACGCGGAACTTTCCTGGTACCGGCCCGACAACTCCAACGAAAACGAAAAAGAAGCGAGGGCATTCAGACAACTTGCCCACCGATCCCGATTGCGCCCCGTCACCCATCAACCCCCTCCTGTTTTCCCACAGCAGCCTCGCGCAGGAAGTCGCGCGATTACAGAAGATAGTTCGTCACAGACCTGTGTCGGCCAAGAATGAGAAAAATGTTTGACCTGTGTCGACCAAGAACGAGAAAAATGTATAACCTGTGTCGGACAAGAATGAGAAAAAATGATTCTCGAGCCTAAGTGACTGAATATAAATCAACATCAGGGCCCTAAAGGCCAAAAAATAGCTAAACTAATGTCCTCAGTTGAAAACAAATGTGGCACAGTCTCACGTGCCCTGTACACAATAAACAATATGCACAATGCCTGAACAAAAGAGAAGGGAACTCTGTCGCATGACAGTGGTATGAATGGGTGGGAAGGTGCCCGGTACAACTCTCAGAGTTAACTCCAAGTGGGCACCTACACAACTAGGTAAGGGTCATCAGGCTCAGAGGGAGAGTAACAACACGACACCGGGCTCCATGAAAACCATCAAACGGTTACCGCCAGCTGAAAGGGGAAGGACACTCACACAAGGAAGCACACATAAGGTGATCCTGGAAGGAGAGAGGGCTATGCCGGCATTGGCATGTGGCCAAAAGCCGCGAGCAAAGAAAACGTACAGTCCGGAGGAGGGCGCACAACATAGGGAAGCCAAAAGGGCGGCAGACGAACACACCCACATAGATTGGGACAATAGGGGTCATCATGCAACTGGAGGGTAAACTCGAGGGTAATGGATACATGGGAATGATGGGCACTCCGTAGCCGAAAAGTGAAGTAGTCCAACTGATAAGTCTCCCGACTGAAGTCGAGCCGAAGTAGCCCGGATGAAGTAGGAGTAGTGCAGAAACCGAGTAGAAGTTTGGAACAATGCGACATGTACTCTGGTACTGAAGAGAAGCACCGAGGTTGAAAGTCGAATGTAGAAGCTGAATGTAGAAGCCGAACGTAGAAGCCGAATATAGAAGCCGAATGTAGAGGTCAAATATAGAAGTTGAAACCGAGAGTTGTTGCATTAGTGTCCAAGAATGGTAAAAGATAGAGAGCGTATCGGGGTGTAGATTAGTCACGATAGCGAGAAGGAAGTCGATGGGTACTCTGAGGGCGAGAGGAATCAACTGCAACAACAGGCGGAACCACATCCACGGGGGAAGGAGGACCTGAGGCAGGAACTGCTGAAGTGGGAGGACCCATTGATGGAGGAGGGGGAATATTAGTGGTCACCGAGGTATATGGGTCAGTGGAAGGACGAGAAGTAGGAAGGGAGGATGATGAAGGGAAAGGATGAGCACGCTCACAAACACGTACGAAAGTCATAGCACACTTCAGGTGCTCGAGAGGCTCCCAAG